TTACACTGTTCACAAGAAAGAGCCGATAGCTAAACATTTAATGAATTATTCAGGAAATAGCACTAAAAATGGCTTTTCCTCGTTGTTAATATGTCCGGCTAGAATTACATTATATGCAAGTTGCATGGATAATGTTATATACGCTTATAATATATCGTCATATAATCGTAAACCAGGTAAATATTCCTCTTCTTTGAATTATAAAATATTGTTCTAATTCTACGAAAAGAATCACGGAAAAAATTCTTTGTAACAGTGGCAGAGTATCATGGACATCAAAATCATACATATTATGTAAAGACTTGTATGAGTTCCGATGGTCGCTATCTAGCCAGTGGATCCAGCGATGAACTCGCGTACATTTGGAACACTAACAGACCGGGCGCACCACTAGTTAAACTTTCCGGTCATACAGACGAAGTCACTTGCATTGCATGGTGCAATACTGGAGAAACTAAGGTTCCATTTTAATGTTTATTATTATAAGTATTAAATAAGAAAAGCTTATTTTATACATATGAAAATATTTTTAAAAAGTACTGATTGCATATTCATAGTTATCTTAGACTCATTGCGTAATATAATGTAAAATATAAATGATTATAATCAAGATTTAATAGTTTGATACTTATCTAATCCTGAGAATCATTTCAGATAGTGACTTGCTCCGACGATGCTTGTCATAAAATATGGAGAGTTGGATTAGAGCATGAAGAAAATAACAAAGAAGTAATGATACGCGGCCAAGCTGAAGTTGTAGAAAGATACTTTTTAGAAAAAATGAAACTGGAAACTACTCCAAGTTCTCGACATTCGAATACTTGTCAGGAAACTACACCAAGTTCAGATGAACACAAGGCATCTATTTTTACTCCAGGTAAATATAAAAGTTATTACATGGAGGTTTATGTGCAAATAAATGGAAGATACAAATTTAATAAGTTTGGAAAACTGAGACTATAAATCGCAAAGTGATTTTAAATTTTGAATAATTTAAAAAAGAAACTTTTCTTTAAGTTCTCCAAAATTTGTGATAAATTCTGTATTTTTAAAGAAATATTTTCGTTTTTCATAGTTACGACTCCCGAATCTAGTAAGGAAGATTACAATGGAAATAAACACAATTCTGTTAAACGTAGTTATCTGCAAATGATGATGGGATCAAGATCTGAGGGAAAGTTTAAAAGTATTTTATCACCTATTCATGAAAACCACGAGATGGTTGCGAAACGAGTTCACATGGATAATCGAAGTATGCGAAGGTTGTTCAGTCCAAGTAACGAGACTCCTAGTACGAGCAAAGATAACAATTCTGACGAACCTAGTACGAGCCAGTCCACAAGCACGAATGAAGCTAGTTTTTCGCCTACATTAAACTTGCCAAATTTTGTAATAGATGGAACGGCGCCTCATTTGCTCGAAATATCACCTCAAAAGTATAAGGAGAATGTCGATTGGTTGACGAAAATTAGAAAGGAAAGGTACGAACAAAAGAAGACTGAGACTGCATCAGTCTCAAGCAGTCCGAAGACTCAATCAACACCTAGTCGAAGATCCAATAGGTCACGATCAACTGAACCCCAAAAAGTTACAAAAACAACAAAAAGTGTTTCTTTGTTGAATTTTTTTAAAGCTATTAGTAAAGATAATGAAAAAGATCTATCTTCGAATAAAAATAATTTGCCATCAACTTGAAAATAATATACATAGAATTTGATAATTCACGATACTCACGAATTGAATATTGAAATTCTTTTCGGATTCAATTTGTTTTTATTTTATAATATAAAGACAAAGGATTTTAAAATCTTGGTCACTAATATTATAAAATAAGTGAAACTTATGATACGACAGATTAGATATTTACGAATTAAATTTTAATATTTTTTTCAATTTTTTTTTATTTTACACTATAAAAGCAAAGAATCTTAAAATCTCGATCAATGATATAAAATAGATGAAATATAGTCATTAAACTTGTTTATAATATAGCATGTTTAATGAAAAAAAAGACTGGTTTATAAAATGATAAGAATCTTTACGCTGATTCAATGAAATGTGTAGGAGATATTAAAACTTACTCGCAATAATGTATCTTGCATAGTTTTCAAGATTAACATTTAAAATATGATTGTAAGTTGTAAAATAGACATGATCTGACATAATTTTTTAGTATAAGCATTATGTTAGACATTATATATTAGGGCATAAAATGTATTATATACAAATTAGCGATATATTATAATTGAAATAGTTTTGTACCCCCCAATAAATTATTTTTTTTATAGAAGAGATATATTAAATAAACTTTTTACATAAAATTTGGTTCAACATATGTTCTATCATCTCTTCTCCATCCATTTTTAGATAATCTAAACTCATTGTAACATGAGCATTAAATGCTGTAAAATAATTTCAAATTATTTTTAAGTATTATTAACTATTTGACTCAGGGCAGAAAATTGTTACAGATTGTGGGAGTAATCTTATTTGAATCGGCTTCAATTCGTATTCTTCATGATCAATGTAAAACATTTGATTTTCGTTCATCTGAAACCAATAATTTTATTGTCATCTCTAAGATTGCTATAGCTATGAAATAATTATGTAAATATATATATTTTAAATATATATATATA